GTTTTTTTTTATTTTTTTAGTGTGGACAATTGTAATGTGGTTTTTTCTATTAATTAAGAATTATAATATTATCGTTTAATTTTTTTTTTGGTTCTATTTTCTATAGATTTTTTTTACCTTTTATATGCTGACCCCTACAAGGAAAATTCCTGGATCCGCCACTCCGAGTGCTCGATGGAGAAGGGGCAGCGGCATGTTTGGGAGAGTGCGCAGGGGACTTGGCCGGTGACGCTTTTCTTCTGATGACAGAGAGGGTCGGTTTAGAAAACTTGTTACCAACTCAGGGCGAAATGCGGTATGTTTACTGCACGGGTTTTATGGCCGTTGGATGAAAAGTTCAGCTTATAACGGTTAGTTTTCCTACGGTGCAGATGGCCGGTGATAAGGTGATCTGGCGATTTTCTTTTTGTCTTTTTCTTTGGAAAGTACAGATTATGATTTGAAAGCAACCAAATCGTCTCTTTCATTGAAATTGGAGTCAATATATTTCCGTAGTTTGAGGAACACGGGAGAAAAGAAAATCAGTCTCTTTTTGTTTTTTTCTCTTCAGGTTGTGGGCCGAAGCCCACAATGAAACAAACTTCACCAACTCGGATCAGGTGAGAATGCTTATGTGAGAACATTATATAAGAATAAATCGCAGCCATTGAAATGCATCTGAACAGTTGAAGAGAAAAAGCGAGCTTACGGTGCATTAGGGTAGGCTGCAGTTTCCCCTTAGCAGAGGTGTCAGGTCGCGCCTGGTTTGAAAAAATCGCGCCTTTCTTATTCCTGACAGTGGCGTGTTGTGTGGATTTCAGCTGCACCAAAATGGATTCAGCTGCATCCTCAACTTGTGATACTCGCAAGTGCACGAACCGTTGGTAGTTTAGCGTATGTAAGTGCGAGGTCGATTCCACAGGGATTGGTGATTGAATGATCCAATTTAGTTTCCCTACACAAAATAGAAACAAAAACAAAGAACATAAAACAAGGAAGAAAGAAATGCCACACACGTTTTACTGACTCTGTGAAACAAAGTAATTAGAAAACTTAAAAAAATTGTGTTAGTCCTTTAAGAAAAACAACAAAAATAAAAACAAAAACAAAAACAAAAATAGAAATAAAAACAAAACAAAAGTAAGACTCAAAACAATCTTCCCGAACATTTTCTGAAGAGAAATGACTCATGCACATGACTC